AAGAAATCAAACGACTTATTGCCTCAAGAAAGCTTTCTTGCAATCTCATTCCACCTCACACAGTGTATACTAGCCAAAGCAAATAATCTAGAACAACAGCTGAGGCTGAGAGTCAGTCAACATCAGCATGCTTGTTGACTGACCTCTTCTCCTAGCCAACCAGACCGACCTGATATTGGAGGAGTCTAGGGAGGAAACAAAGGAGCTCTGGTAGTATAGTGGTTATGAATCGGGCTGTGAGCCTCAAGGTCAGCAGTTCAAAACTACCAGCTGTTCCACGGGAGAAAGATGAGGCTTTCTGCTCCAGTAAAGGTTTATAGCCTCAGAAACCCTCTGCAGGGTCACTATGAATTGGAACCGACTCCACAGCACATAACAACAACAAGGGAGGAAACGAAGCAATACACTTGTCTTTTTTTGTTTGATTGCCTGTTCTCTCCCTATCCACTTTCCTTCCAGGCTTCTCTTGAACTGGTTTGGTCTGTCAGGAGGACTCTGAGGGGGGTCCTTATGTCTGGGAAACTCAGATTGCTTATTTGTAAAACAAAAGACACACATCCCTCTCTGCTTCCTTAGAGGGTTCTGAAAATTAGTGCAAAATTATGCCTGAAATACATTCTGGCAGCTAAAGATGTTATGGAAAAGTAATGCATTATTAGAGTAATTATTGTTAATTATTGATGATGATAATGAGATAGATTATGTAGGCATTACTTATCTGTTGATCCCAAGGAGGCATACTTTTTGTACTAGGTCCTTGTAGAACACAGAGAAATTTGGCTTTGCACATGCCCTTAAGGAGTCTATAACCTAACAGCAGGGTTAAAATAATTATATATAATCAAAAGAAATAGCTAAAACGGAATATAATAATGCATCATGTACTCATAAAGAATTTCCAAAATAAATGTCTAAAACTAAATGTAACAATGTGTTATATAATTAAAAATTACTTTGAAAGGAACCGAGTGATTTGAGAATTATGTTATATGGTTACAGAGTGCCTTAATTTTCCTGGACTGCCTTAAATTGCAATTTAAAAGAAAGAATTCAACTTTCTAGAAAGAGGAAAACAGGAAAAGGAGGGTAAAAATTTGATGTATATACAAGCCTATAACTTTCAAAGAGCAAAAAACACAGCACAATTTCACACATACTTTTATAGGAGATACCCCCAAACCAGCTACTGAATCTCTTGTAATCTATTCTCTCAAAATTATTTTTCAAGCTTAGATTTCATTTTTCCATGACCTTCTGCTAACAATCAATCCAAAGTTCCTTACTGATAAATGATGTTTCTGCAAGGTAGCCTCTGCGTGTAAGGATCACTTCCAAGAATGTGGAATCTTCATCTACAATGTAGTACTCTTTCTCCAAAGATATCCATGCCCAGTTTAGCTGGAATGGCTGGTTTGTTAGTTTATTTCCTCCTGTAATTGATAGGGAAAAAGAACAAATCTGCTGAAATATTTCATGGAAAAATCACAATGATCAAAGTTACCTTTTGCTCTTCAGCCAATGGTTTCAACATACATGTTCCTGTTTTTGTGTGTGTGTGTGTATGGAAAGAGAAACAGTTCTTTGCTTTACTAGAGAATGAGAGAATGTTGTGAGCACCATCTTAAGTCCTGTTTTCTTTACTTAATGTGGAGAAAGTCAGGTTCCTCCTATTCAAAGTCTTATGTACAATAAAATCTGAGAAAGCTGGAACCTATGGAAGGCAGAAAGCTATCAGAGGAGTGAAACTCATATATTTTCCACTAAACCTAGAGATAGAAAGTGGTAAGACTGCACCCTCTTAAAGGTGGAAAACTTGTGAGAGCTGAGAAAACAAGGTAGACCCACCAAGTTTTTCCTCTCACAGATTTCATGGTACCAAGGCTCCAAAGAGCCAAAGCTTAGTAGTTTGAAACTTAGTTCATACTTAACACATCCACTCTTCATCTCTGCCTCCCCACATCCCTTGTTGATTTCCTCCCTCTTTTATTCTCTCCCTTGTTTCTTCCTCTGTTCTCTGATTTATCCTTTGTATTATTTTTGGAGCCCTTGTTGTTGTT